ATTAAAGAGGAAGAGGAGGAAGTGTGCAGCAGTCAGGAGGGAGAGCAGCTTGTAGTGAAGCAGGAGACTGATGGCTTTATGTTGACTCCTGCTGATGAGGAAAGTGAGCAGAGTGAAGATCAGACTCTGGACTTCATTCATGATGACACTCAAAGTGCAGCAGAGAAAGAGTCTGTCGTCATTATACCAGTTATAAGCTATGTGATACCAAACAGTGACCACCAGCTGCAATTGCAGAGACACCTGAACAGCCACACAGGTGAGAAGCTGTTTTCTTGCAAAACATGTGGGAAAAGATTCAATGTGAAGTCAGCATTGAAAAGGCATTGTAGAATCCACACAGGTGAGAAGCCGTATACTTGTGACGTATGTGGGAGAGCTTTTGGACATAATAATGTCTTGTTAGCCCACATGAGGACTCACACAGGTGAGAAGCCGTATACTTGTAACGTATGTGGGAGAGCTTTCGGACGTAATGGTGTCTTGTTAGTCCACATGAGGACTCACACAGATGAGAAACCGTATTCTTGTAACGTATGTGGGAGAGCTTTCAGACGTAATGGTGACTTGTTAGTCCACATGAGGACTCACACAGGTGAGAAGCCGTATACATGTAAAGTATGTGGGAGAGCTTTCGGACGTAATGGAGACGTGTTAGTCCACATGAGGACTCACACAGGTGAGAAGCCGTATACTTGCAAAACATGTGGGAAACACTTCAGATCTAGGAGTAACTTGAAAGTCCACATGAGAACGCACACAGGTGTAAAGGTGCATGACTTGAGCACAGAGGTTCCAGTTGAAGTCACACATATACAGGAGAGAGACTGTTTACATGCAAAACATGTGGCAGAGCTTTCAGAGGCCTGTTCCATAAAGCATGCTAAGAAAAGTGGGGAGTGAAGTCCAAATCCTGAATTTTAATTGAAATTGCAGGTCTGGAAAAGTTCAACTAGTGAGATAAAGAACAAAAGGAGGAGACTACTCTAAAGTCTGAATTTTATACTTGCAAGAGTCATGGAAAACCTGGAAAAGTCATGAAATTAGTCAAAATCATTATAAGTCACAGAACTTGTTTGTATATAGTGAATTTTTTTTTATTATTATTATTAATTTGATACAGGCGAGCATACAAACATATCACACTCAACAATATAATAACATAACATCAAACAAAGAAACACAAATAAAAACAAAAGAATAAGACAAGACAAAATAGAATATATAGGATCCCTTCAAATATTCAAGAGATAAATTTCCAATAGCATCACATTAAAACAAACAAGATAAACATATGAAAGAGCATATTTATAATTGTATATAATCCCACTCTTCAATAGAGGAGATTTTTTCCTTTTCATATTATGTAGTACTACTTTACAGTTATTTGTAGTGATTATTTTTTCCAAAAGAAATTGGCTTTGCAATATATTTTTGAACAAACTTATATCTAGGCTCGTTCTTGATTGAGCTTTTAATATAAATATTTTACCTAACAAAATAATTGTATTTGTTATCTGGGGACAATTTTCATCCAAATCTCCCAACATAATATTTAAAGGTATGAATTTAAGACAGATATCCAATGTCCTTAGCCAGTTTTGGATATTGGTCCACCAACTTGCAACATAGGGACAATAACAAAATAAATGCATCTGGTCTTCTTCTTCTTCATTACAAAATCTACATAATGATGACTCTACAATATTAAACATATTAAGTTGCTTTTTGGTAGCAGTAATTTTATAAAAAAAATCTTCACCTGAAAAATTCTAGAGTAAGAATCAATTGTTGTTTTATAAATTGTTCTGAAAAATTGTTTCCAAGGTATCAAAATATTAAATTGGTCTTCACAAAAAGTACAGACTGAGTGCGGAAAAGCGGTAAGGCCTCTGCGCTGTAAAATAAAATTATATATATATTTTTTTGTTTATTTCTGTTCTAAGTTAAAGATATTATATACTTGTCCATACAACCTGCAAAATTTATGATAAGAAAGGAAATCACCCTTGCTATCTAGTATGTCGTTTACAAAAACAATTCCATTTCTCCAAAATGTTTCCCATAGAACAGGCTTCTCGTCTATTAATACTTCTGAATTCATCCATATTACTTGATTTTGAATATCTTCTGGGGTGTCAGGAGGATAAAACTGGTAACTCAACCAAACCTTCAGTGCATCTTTAAAAAAATGGTGAAAGGTTCACTAATATATCTTTATATAGCAAATCAAGATGGTAAGATTTTAATTGGACAAACGGAAACAATTTACAGCCAAAGAAAAGATACACCGACAATAGGTTTTGACTTGTTCTCCAGGAACTCTTATGGTAAATGTTATCAATCCAGGATGCTTTTAGGGATAAGTTCATTACTGCAATATTTTTTAAATTCAAGCCACCATTTTCGTATGAATTATAATGTATTATCTTTTAATCTTATCCGGCTTATTATTCCAGAGGAACTTGATTATTTTTTGTTCAAAAGTTTTAAAAACAGGATGCCTCTGGTGAAGGAAGTGCCATTAGGAGATAAATGAACTGAGGAATTATGAAAGTGTTAATCATTGTAACCTTTCCTTGTAAGGTCAAATTCCTTCCTTTCCAAGGTTGTAAAACTTTTTCAATTTTCTCCAATTTTCTGTCATAATTTATCTTAACTAAATCTTTTGGATTATCTGGAATATGAATTCCCAAAACATCTACTGAACCATTACACCATTTAACTGGAGCTTGGCACTGTAAACCAAAATCTGTACCTCTCAATGATCCTATTCTCATAACAGTGCATTTACCAAAATTTGGCATTAGTCCAGAAAATTTTGAAAAAATGTTTAAATCGAGTATGAGGGCATCTAATGAAGATTTTTTTGAGGCTGCAGAAAAAAAGTTGCATCATCTGCATATAATGTCAACTTCGTTTCTAGACCATTTGGTTTTAATCCTGTGATACATGAGTTACTTCTGATTTTAATAGCAAGAATTTCAATACATAACAAGAACAGGTATGGAGACAACGGACACCCTTGACGTACAGCTCTAGACGGAGTAAAACTATTAGATAAGTGTCCATTATTTACTATTTTACTATTACTATACTATTGGGTTGGTTGTACATGATCTTCACCCATTATTAATTATTAGAATCATCTTCAGTGGATATCCCTCCATATAATGTAACATAATGGCAAATTCATTTTCTGCAGCTGGCGTTTTAATGTAGCTTTAACATGTGTCGATGTGTGACAATGTTTGTTTACCATCAGGTGTGTTTTGTCATGTTCTCCCTCAGTTTGTCTCTCCCTTCCTGTGTGCCAATTATGTTTACATAGAGTTTGAATCTGATGTTTGAAAAACGCCGGGCAAGTGGGGAAAGAAAAACAAAATTCTTCATGATGAGTCCTTGAAAAGTCATGAAAAAGTTTGGAAATATTGTCCATGAAAATGCGAGCGGAACCTGTAATTAAAAGTATGACTGATTTTGCAGTGAGCACAGTAATAAACTGATCCCAGAAGATTTGTCCTGTTGCTGTGATCTTTTGTCAGGGTGTCTACAGGTCCTTTAAAATGTCTTAGATTAACGAGCAAGTCATAGAGGAATTTATTGTGGATAAAAGCTTAGTATGTATGAATGATGGGAGAGGTACCAGGTATAATAGTGTGCAAAACACAGAAAGTGCAATTGATTTAACATTTATATCAGAAGAAGTCTCTGGTGTTACCACATGGAAGGTGTTAAGTAAATCAACAATAGGTTGTGATCATTACCCTGTAATAATTAAGACTGGAGTAGAAGTTCACCAAGATGAGGATCTAAGACTACCAAGATGTAAATTAGATAAAGCAAATTGTGAGGTGCATCAAAAGCTATGTAAGGATAAATGTGAGCTGTTAAACAAAGAAGAATTCTCAGATGGGGATGAATTCAATAACAAGCTGGTAGCAGTCATAGTACAAGCAGCAGAGGAAAGTATACCAAGGGGTGCTGGGAGCAGAGGTAAAAAGACTGTGCCATGGTGGGATGCAAACTGTAGGGAGGCTGTTAAAAGAAGGAACAGGGCTTTCAGGCAGTTAAAAAAGCATCACTCACTGGAAACTCTGAATAACTATTAAAGGTTACAGGCAGTTGTCCAGAGGACCATAAGAGCAACTGAACATGAATACTGGAGGTAATATTGTAATAAAATTGTAAGAGAGACGTTATCATCTGATGTATGGGGGATGTTTAGACGAATGAGCAGAATCAAGAGACATTATACAATTCCAGTATTAATCAGTGGCAATAAAACAGCGGTCAGTAATAGGGATAAAAGTGAACTTTTGGCAGAAACATTAGTGAAAGTACACAATTCAGATAATTTATCAGTCAGAGCCAGACAGTGCAGGGACAACACTCTTGCCATGAGTCCAGATGTGAATGTACAGAGAATCACCCCAATAAATGATTTAGATGTACCCTTTAATTTATTTGAGTTAAGGAGGGCACTCTTAATATGGGGTGCCATTTGTAAAGTGGCTCACGCTGAAAATAACATCAACATTTTGCCACATTTAGCTTCAAACAATGTTTAAAAAAGTATTGTGAATTTTTTAACGTCACCTTTTACCACATTTACAGCAATATTTGTTAACTTAGAAATAATATTAAATAGTTAAATCTACATATTAAATGTGGCACCTAAATGTTAAATGTTAAATCTAAATATTAAATCTAAATGTTAAATCTAAATGCTAAATCTTAATCTAAATATTAAATCTAAATCTAAATCTAAATGTTAAATCTAAATATTAAATATAAATATAAATGCTAAATATAAATATAAATCTAAATGTTAAATCTAAATGCTAAATATAAATATAAATGTTAAATCTAAATATGTTTTAGTGTGTTTTTTCTTTTGTGCTTGATCTACAATATGCAGGACTCTTCTAATGTTATCATGCGTTTGACGTCCTCTTACAAATCTTGTTTGATCTTCCTCTATCAGTTCTGTTATAAAAGTATTCAATCAATTAGAAATAATTATTGTATATATTTTCTAATCTACATTTAATAGTGAGATTGGTCTATAATTCCCATAATGTTCCTTATCCCTTCCTGGTTTTGGGATGACTGTGATAATGGCTTCAGCCCATGATGGAGGTATTTTATTGTTGTGAAGTGTCCAACTGAAAGAAGCCAAGAGTAGTGGCGTCAGCTCTTGCCTGAACATCTTGTACCACTCTGCAGGGTATCCATCACTACCTGGAGACTTATTATTCTTTAATGTGTTTATTGCATCTTTCACCTCCTCTATTGCAATATCGGCCGTTAGTGTCTCATTTTGTATATCACCAATTGATGGTAAATCCAGTGTATTTAAAAAAGCTCTCATTTCCCCCTCATGTGAGAATGCAGTTTGTGTATATAGTTCTTCATAGTATCCCCGAAAGATTTCCTCTATAGCCTCTGGTTATCTATTAATTCACCTGTGTGAGGGTCTCTGATTTTATGTATATTATTAAGTACTTGTTGTTTACGTATACGCTTTGCTAACAATTTAGTTGCCCTTGAGCCTGCTACATAATAATTTTGTTTCAGGAATGTGTTCCTTTTTTCCACCTCATCTAGTAATATGTTGTTTATCTTTGTTTTTACTATCTTGATTTCTTGATGTATCTTCGGATCATTTGTTTTCTGATAACCCTGCTCTAATTCCCTCAGTCTCTCTGTGTTTGTTCTATATGACTCTAATTTAACTTTTTTTTTTTTGGTATGCAGTTTCAGCTATCAGTTTTCCCCTGATGACTACCTTCATGGCATCCCATACTATTGTCGGGTCTACTGCTCCATTGTTATTTTCTTCAATATATCTTTTTATTTCTGCTTTAACCTTCTCTTTTTGTTGTTCATTGTTCAGTATTCCCACATTTAATCGCCGTACAGTATTTCCTTTCCTGCTACTTAAGCATATTTTTAAATAAAGTGGATTGTGGTCTGACACATCTGCCCCTCCTATCCTACATTCCTTCACTCTGTGTTTGTCACTTACATTCATTAAGAAATAGTCTATCCTTGAATGGACTTTATGAGCAGCTGAGTAATGTGTGAAGTCTTTTTCTAAAGGATGTGGCTTCGCCATATATCCGTCATCCCCATCTCTTCTAGTGATACATTTATAAATCTTGTTAACTGCATTTTAGTTCTTATGTGACTCGTTGTATCCATACTATGGTTCATACATTTAAATCACCACCACAAATTAGGATTCCTTCTGTTTCTAGTGCTATAATGTCGAAAAGGGTCTTGAAAAAGTATTTGTCACTCTCTGGAGGCGCATATACATTTACCAGTGTAATTGGTTCATTTTCTCTTCTTCCTTTAACTATTATGTACCTTCCTTCTTTGTCTCTGAATTCTTTTTCATAATCAAATTGTGTTGTGTATGATATTAATGTTACAACTCCTCTCCTGCGTCCCTCTTTATATGCACTGTAGTATAAATTCCTGTAGCCATACCTTTTTAATTTTTCATGTTCTGATCTGGATAAATGAGTCTCTTGCAGGAATAGAATTTATGCTTTTTCCTTTTTCAATTTTGTCATCACCCTTTCTTTTTTCATCTGTGCTTTCAGACCATTCATATTCAGCGACATTATCTTGATGTTGTTAGTCATATTTATGGTTTATTACTCCCTGAAAATGCGCTCCCAAACAACTCAGAACAGAATAATCATGAACATTTATTAACCGAACATAAACTAAAAATCTTGCGGACTTCCAAACAGGGGGTATTCGTTCACTCCTCCCCACGTCCCCGTTGGTGGGTGGAGGGGAAATCCTCATCTCTAATAAAGGCCCCTCCCTAGACCTAGGACTACACCCAGCTTGCGGGGTACCATATCGTCTAGACATGTCCAACTTAAATACCTCGTCCTCTCCCAGTCGGTTTTTAATATATTTACAGTGCCCTCCAAAAGTATTGGAACAGTGAGGCCAATTCCTTTATTTTTGTTGTAGACTGAAAATATTTGGGTTTGACATCAAAAGATGAATATGGGACAAGAGATCAACATTTCAGCTTTTATTTCCAGGTATTTACATCTGGATCTGATACACAACTTAGAAGATAGCACCTTTTGTTTGAACCCACCCATTTTTCATGAGAGCAAAAGTATTGGAACATGTGACTGACAGGTGTGTTTTGTTGCCCAGGTGTCTCCCAATTACATTGATTATTCAAACAATAAATAGCACTGAATGTCTGAGCTCAGTTTCAGATTGGGTACGATAGGTTTTGCCTGTGCAGACTGCATTTAGAGGTGGAACCAACATGAAAACCAGAGAGCTGTCTATGGGTGAAAAAGAAGCAATTGTGAATCTGAGAGAAGATGGACAATCAATCAGAGCCATTGCACAAACATTGGCCATAGCCAGTACAACCATTTGGAATGTCCTGAAGAAGAAAGAAACCACTGGTGTACTAAGCAACAGACGTCGAACAGGTAGACCAAGGAAAACATCAGCAGTTGATGACAGAAACATTGTGAGAGCTGTAAAGAAAGACCCTAAAACAACTGTTAGTGACATCAGCAACAACCTCCAGAGGGCAGGAGTGAAGGTATCACAATCTACTGTTCGCAGAAGACTTCATGAACAAAAGTACAGAGGCTACACCAGAAGATGCAAACCACTCATTAGCAAGAAGAATAGGAAGGCCAGGCTGGAATTTGCCAAAAGGTACAGAGATGAGCCTCAAAAATTCTGGGAAAAAGTTTTATGGACTGATGAGACAAAGATTAACTTTTTCCAAAGTGATGGAAAGGCGAAAGTTTGGAGAAAGAAAGGATCTGCTCATGATCCCAAACATACAAGCTCATCTGTGAAACACGGTGGAGGTAATGTCATGGCTTGGGCTTGCATGGCTTCTTCTGGGACGGGCTCTTTCATCTTCATTGATGATGTAACACATGATGGCAGCAGCAAAATGAACTCAGAAGTCTACAGAAACATTTTGTCTGCTAATTTAAAGAAAGATGCAACCAAACTGATTGGGAGATCCTTCATCATGCAGCAAGATAACGACCCAAAACACACTGCCAAAACAACAAAGGAGTTCATCAGGGGCAAGAAGTGGAAGGTTTTAGACTGGCCAAGTCAGTCTCCAGACTTAAACCCAATAGAGCATGCATTTTACCTGCTGAAGAGGAGACTGAAGGGAGTAACCCCCCAAAACAAACAACAACTGAAAGAGGCTGCGGTGAAAGCCTGGAAAAGCATCACAAAAGAAGAATGCAAAAGTTTGGTGATGTCAATGGGTCACAGGCTTGATGCAGTTATTGAAAGCAAAGGATTTGCAACTAAATATTAAGTCTCATTCACTTTAATCTATTTTAAGTTTATATGTTCCAATACTTTTGCTCACCTAAAAATTTTGTGTTCCATTACAAATAATGCTATCTTCTAAGTTGTGTATCAGATCCAGATGTAAATACCTGGAAATAAAAGCTGAAATGTTGATCTCTTGTCTCATATTCATCTTTTGATGCCAAACCCAAATGTTTTCAGTCTACAACAAAAGTAAACGAATTGGACTCACTGTTCCAATACTTTTGGAGGGCACTGTATGTAAACTAAAGAAGTCTGAATGATTTCAAATATTCACACTGTGGATCTCTTCTTTTGTGTCAGTCATTTTTGTCCATTATATGAACATAATTCCGCACAGTGTTTAATAATTAGGCTTTGCTGAATATTCTGTAATGGTCCTGTTCCATACCTGTTTTTCCACAGTCCACAGTGTTACCTCCTTCAAGCAAAACGTTTTTAAGATCTCCACTGATAGTTTTGCAGCTTTTCTCTTGCTCGATGTGCCGTGTCGGCTCCCTGTTCTTTCCCCTTCCCTCTCTGCCACACCGCCGCTCCTTGCTGCCTCTCCTCCACCGCAGGTGCGGTATCCACATCTGGCTCGTCAACAGCGTAGCCCCTTTCCTTCATGTCCCGTGCAGCTTCCCTGGCACTTTCGTACATCTTCACTCAGTTGTTCCAGTGTATCCGTATTTTGGCGAGCGGTGTCTGAAAGCGGATTCCTTTTTCCTTCAGTACTTTTTTAATGCCCGCATATGCCCTTCGTTTCTGGACGATTTCTGTTGGATAATCATGGTCGAGATAGATTTGTTTGCCCCCTACTTGAATCTTTTTCTGCCAGACTTTCTTCAGAATCATTTCTTTCATCTCAAATTGTAGGAAGTTGACCATGATTGATCTGGGAGCAGCATTCGGTCCCGGTTTTTGAGCGAGGGCTCGGTGGGCTTGCTGGATCTGGAGATTGGTCCCCTCAGGGAGCTCGAGTTCGGTTTTTAGAAGTTGCTCCAGATATCTAGCTGTGGAATTCCCTTCCGTGTCCTCTGGTAGACCGAAGACTCGGATGTTGTTTCTCCTTGATCTCCCTTCGAGATCGGTTAATTTTCCTTGCATTTGGCGTGTTTGCTCTATCATCTCTGTTGGCGCACCATTAGCATCTCT